TGACTGCGGTTAGGTTAGTTTTCGCACAGTCCCTCTATCACATAGAGGGACTTTTGTGGTTTTCGCGATCGCGCTAAAAGAACTAAATGAAAATTAATTATTTCTTTTTGTAAAACTAAAAAGAAGTCCCGACTTTGCCAGTCTCGGTTCTAGCGTGCGTTTGGCAACATTCCTAAAGTGGAACACTGGTGGAGATATTGGATATCGTCGTGTGGAAACGGATGAGGGTCAAACACTTGTAGTCGAAGTATGGTGTAACCTCTGTGCCAAATATATGCAGAAAATTCAGGCCGATGTAACCATCAAAGGGCAAGCCAAAAAAGACCTAATGATTTACATGAATGGAACAAATAGCGTGACAAAACATAATGTCTCTAGACATTTGTCATCTGACAATAACATTGATCCTGATTAAAATGTGAGATTGACTGTGACACATGGTTCAATTTCAAAGTGAGTTGTGTGATTTAAAAATAAATAAATATAAAAGAATGACAGCATGTCTGTAGTATTTTATTTCCATAATAATTTATTTATTATAACTAGTCATAGGCAGTTATAGTTAACTAAAACACCCTGGGTCCACCCTTATTGCAAATCATACAATTTTCTAAAATCACTCGCCTCACTGCTTTTAGGTGAGAAATTTGTAATCACTCCCATAACTCGCCTTAGTGCTTGTAGGAGAGCAATTTTTCACTCACCATCCATTTTCAAAAGGCAAGCACTGGTACTAATCATCACATTTCAATGAAACTTGCATAGATACATAGGACGATGTACAGACAGATATGTGAAATATTAATTGCCTAATTTGCATAACTACCAATCAATTTTCAGCTTTTTATTATTTCAAGTACTATTACTTCATTCATTACTTTTCAATGAAACTTGGTACATAGATGCTCTAGAACAATCCAAAGACCTGATTAATTTTAAGTAAAAATGAGTTAATATTAATCAACTAATTTGCATAATTAGTTAATTTTTGCCTTTTACACTGATATCGCAAGTACTAATTATCCCATTTCAATGAAACTTGGCACATTGATGCTCCAGAACAATGCACAGACCCAATCAGTTTAGGTTTAAAATCAGATCATATTAATTACCTAATTTGCATAATAAATCATAATTTTTGGTTCTAATTACATTTCAATGAAACTTCATACATACAAATGGTCTGTGACAGTACTTATTTTAATTCAGTGAATCTTTGTGCATATGTACTCTAACACAATGTAATTATCAAATTAGTTTGAGGTTTACCGGTATATACATCTATAATAATAACCTAATTTGCATAATAATTTACTTTTCAGCTTCCCACTAATTTAGTAAGGATTAATCGTCACATTATAATGAAACTTTATACATGTGCACCCTGAAACAATATACAGACCTAAATCTATGCATAATAATTGCTTAATTTGTATAATAATTCATTTGGTTCATTGAGGTAATCCAATTTCTTATTTTAATAAAAATAATAATATGTTTGTGTATATTTTATTACATGTTATTACATGATTAGTTTAATGTTGATAAACATGCATATTGATTATCTATTATTAGCCCATTTCTGATATATAAAAAATCAGATTTAAATTCATCGCAGAGGTGCTCTGGAAAAATTATACTAAAACCATGGATGAAAAATCAAATGTATTTTCTGTATGTATTATAAATTTTGATAATGTGAATCACATTTTTTTCATGTTATGCATCTGAAATCATTTGCCAAGCTTCTTTTTTGAAAAGCAAATCTTAAAGTTTGAATTAATTTTAATGTGTTGCCATTACTCAGCACACGGAAGTTCTTTCTAAGCTTTCTTTGACTTTTTTTTGGCCTGAGACATGCTTATTCCTGACTAATACTGAATGCAATGTTATTCTTTTCCCATAGTAACAAACATGCACAAACTCCCATAATGATGGCCAAAAGAAGAGGTGTTGATGAAGAAGTAGTTCATTTATTAGGAAGACTCAGAAAGGCATCAGGAAAAAGGTCTTTTTTATCACGTATGCAAGGAAAACTTCAAGTCATACCATACAGAGAGAATGTACATAATGCGAGTAGTGACACAACACACAATGCATATTATGTTGTTAAAGATGTGTGGTGGGAATTTGTTGAAAGTCTTGGCTTTCGTAAACTCATGTTATTGTTACTTGGCATTGCATTACTGTCTCTATATATTGCATGTGCCAGTTCAGGCATCATTCCCCTTGTTACAAAATCTTAATAATGTCAACATATATCTGGGTAGACATGGTTGAAACCTGGTTGACTACTATGAGGCTAGCATTACCAATTTATCTTTTAACAAAAGTCTTATACAAAATACTATAAAAATTATTTATTTGTTTTCTAACATTGTGCTAGACTGAAAAAAAAAGACAAAGACTGAAAAGAAATGACTGACAACCCAACATTATTTTACCATACATTGTGTCAACTGGGCTTCCAAACAAGGTGTTAATTTGAAACCATTCATCCACAGCAGTATATTGTATATGATCTGTTAGAACTTATGTAAACAGATCCTGGCACTAAAATAAACATCTTAGTTTTTTGTGCAGAAGTGTTGTACATACAAATGTAGCTGTAATGCTGTAAATTAGAAAAATCCTGCACTTTACTGATATTATTACGAAATAGTTAAGTTATATAGTACAAGAAAATAATTTATTCTATTATATTGTGTTTGTCTGTATAGTCGTAAAATTGACTGAAATATATTTGAGAAATAATGGGTGACGCATGGCCCATTATTGCATGATAACCTCTGGCTCGCTCATTATTGAAGCTCAGATCATAGGGCGGCCCAGTTATCACGCAATAATGGGCAATGTGGAGCCTATTATTTCCATTATAATGCTAGGAAGGGTGCCAGAATTGTTTCAATAATGCTGGCTCTGGCTCACTTAGAAAGTCATTAGTATTAAAATTTGCTTCAGCATGCTTTCCTTCCTTCATATTGTTATTTGTTGTATCAACTGCAAGTCACACAGGTTTAGACTACTGTCATCTGCTGTTTGTCAAACCAGCTTATCGCACATGTTCAATGAACCCTGTCGTATATCACATGATATACTGCCATCACAGGGTGATGCATTGAATGTACTCATTGAAGATTCATGTACTCTCACATATTATTACGTGTAGTAGTTGTTGTACAGTAATGCCATGGAACATAGCTTTATCACTGTCTTTCTGAAGTGAAATTTTACCTAAATGTTTATTGTAAAAGGTTCACAAAACTATTATGCCTACATGGAAATTGCATTAAATATGAGATTCAAGAGCCAATGTTCATAATGATAGCTGAACAGTTACCTTTAACAGCACTTGGGAAGGATACAAAACTCTATAATCTTGATTTATGTATATTATTTTATATAAATTATTGTACATTACTTTTTTTGTGATCTCATAATTGAGTTCACTTTATATAATTTCAGTTGCTTCCATGCAATATGTACATATTATTTTATTAAAATGCATAGACAAATACAATATTATGTGATTTTGCCACAAATTTGTGATAGTATGTGTTAAATTAGACTTGCATACAGTCTCTTGTTTATTAGTCCCCGTTCGGACGAAGTCCGAAAACGAGGACTTATAATTCGGTCTCCGTCCGAAGTTATATCTCAGAATCCGTTGGACCGATTCCGTTCATTCTCTGCATGTGCCTAGTACTTTATGTGGGACATATGCACATGCGGTGGTTT